TTCAAGGTTTTCATTAGTTTATTCGATTGATGAATTTTTTTGCTGAACTCTTTACCTATGCTTACAGAATAATGAAGCGTTTCAAAGAAAAACAGGAAAGAATTCAGAAGGTCATGAAAGTAACTGTAATGAATAGGTAGGAGTTTTTTAAAGCACAAAACCGGTATCTGATTTTTTTTAAAGACAGAACTAGATTAGTTTATTGGAGTAGATATATAATCCATTATATTCGAAAAAAAGTAATATTTTCCAAGCCTCCAAGTTCTGTATTGATTTGCTCTGGGATGAACCAAAGACCCACCAAATTATTGCTTCTTGAGAAGCGTCTTAAAGAAAATAGATACCCATAAGACCTTACCAATTAATACAATAGAAGAGAATGAAATAAAGTCGAGAAAAAAAAGTGAGTTGGAAGTCTATCTTCAGTCACCTCGACTTCTTCCGTGATGACTTTTGAACGGCGGTAACCGGAAAAACAGCAATACCCTGATCAGGATATATTCTACAATATAACTGAGTCCCCCAATTCAAACTTCTTGCTAACTGGTACAATCACGAACCGACAGGTACTTCTTATGTGCTAACTCCAATTATGTGTATTAATTCACTTGCACCTGTCAAAGCAGATATTCTGAGAGAACAGGAAGAAAGGCTGGTCTTTGATATCTTGAATATATCCCAAATTAATAACGATCAAGAGGAAAGAGCAAGTAATTTCAATGGTGCAATTACAAGGCACTTAGTGGACACAGGATACCAAGCAGGTCCTTTGGAATCTTTCAAAATTATTAACAAACAAAATCGTTCAGATCTTCTTCTCTCCACTGAAGCCACTGTAACTAAACATCTAAAACCAGATTAATGTAGTCAAAAGGAATCTACCATTAATCTTTAACTCCCTTGGTAACCTCATTTCTTTGCCACTCACTTATTTGATTACATCATTATCCTGTTCACTCCAAAACCCCAATTTTAATCTACTGAGCTTTAGCTGTTATGCCTTATTACATTTTGTTAGTTTACTATTGCTAACTTATCTGTTCATCGACGTACCCAATCCGTAATTTTAAATTCCGCAGTATTCGTTTTTCTACCATCATGCCTACTTCATTATGTCATTTTTATTTTAACAGATCTCACTGAACTAAATTATGCTGATATTTTGTTGTGATTTGTTATTTCACATATTTCGATTTGTAAACAGCTGACGAGAACCAACGAAATAATAAAATGAATCCATATGTTATCCTGTTTCAATGTTTCCTACTGATCTTCTAAAGATAAATTACCATTTTTAGCAGCTACTTCCAATATTTTAATGAGAACTAAGGAGTAGAAGATACTTGTATCGCTTTTAGCCGCTCAAAAGATTACATTTTAAGGGAAAATTCAGTCGTCTTTAACCTGTCTACCAAGTTCTACTTTTGGTGAATTTCAGCTCAGAACAACAATCTAAGATTTCATTAATGAGTAGTAAATAGTCTCCCCAACTTGAGTACTTATTATCAAAATCAGTCACATAAAAACTCTTGGGTCATTGGACTGAGTATATAACTTTCCTTCAGTGCATAGTATGTTTGAATTCAGCTTCATTTGCTAAGCATTTAGGCAGCGCAGGATTATAACCGTCCTGTACCTGACGGCCTAGTAAACTGGTTTGTTTTCTACCGCTAAGTTGCATATTTAGTGTCATAGCTATAAGTGATACATAGAAAGCTAAATAATCAACAGCTAGTGAACCAGTATCATACAACAGTAGTTAATAGACTTCTCAAAATATATTTCTTGACCAAATGGAGAACAATAATGAATTCTGATGGCATAATAGACACTCTACAACTGCCGAATCTACCTGAAATATACCAATACGGATAATGCGATTGAATCATACATGAATCTTAGAAATACATTCAATGTGATTTATTTTTGTAGGGTAATAAAAACAATATTTTTACCTCTAAGTTTACAGAAATTATCAATTTGACTATGTGAAATAGCTGTGGTTTGACAGACTTGTATCATTCATACTGAGTGATGAGTGAAGTCCTGGCTGGGTGACCGGTGTGTATACGATGTACGCATGGTAACGCATCACAAATCAACATGGCAGTAGACCAGAACCCTTGGTGACTGAAGTGAAATGAAGATCTGGTCTTCATTTGGGTTTCGTGACTCAGTAGGTTGAAAACCGTGCCAGTAACCCGGAGGTCGTTGGTTCGAATCTTGAAGCCGCCTGGATTTTCACTTCACCACCACCCCCTAGTATTTACTGAAATTATTTGAGGGAAGACGCAAGGTTAGTATTTGTTTTACTGATGATAACCTTCCTTTGAAAGTTGTATAGGAAGTTAATAATAACTAAATTTGCCGCAAAAACTGATATTCAAAGTAATTCAAATAGGTAGCCTTTAAAAGAGTTGAAATTAGATATACAGTTACAAGTTCGATTTTAATGGTGTTTCAGATCTAACCGCTACACTGGTCGTTAGATATGTTCAACCGTTTAAATCATCACTATAATAATTACCGATGCGCAAATTAATTCTCCCAAGAAATCTCTTCTGGAAACTTTTATGAAGAAGTACGCTTTAATCCTACCATCTACTGCGATTCTTGCGTACAATTCACATGCTAACTTTATGTTCCTTGTCATTTCAAAAACAAACGTCTTCGCTTGAATTTGAATGTATATTTCAACCTGTCTCAACGATGTTTCCATACAATCCAATATTAGGCAGTCATATAATGACGATAGATAGTGGCTAGCAGTGTAATCCAAGACGCGCGTTTCTTACTATTTGGGACTCGTTAGATGGATGTACATGTCTCCCATTGAGTGATGTTATGCCAGGATAGTAAAAGCAACAACATTAAAACTATACCTGTCCCATAAGAAGTGGCTGTCGTGGATCAAAGGTCTGCTGGATAACGCTCTGGCATTTGAAGCGGTCGGTCCCGAGTTCGAGTCCCACTGGAAACAACACCGCTCACTGGCAGACATGTACATCCAACTGACGTTCTGGATTCCACCGCTAGCCACAATTCATCATTGTTGTGCAATTGAATCATAAGCAATGCTGCCACATCCACTCAGGAGCCCATACGCAAATGAAGACCGATCAATTCGGTTCACTCAACGATGGGATAATAATAGTAACAAAATTAGATATTTGTGTCCTAAAAGTCATGTCCTACTACAATTAAAAACTGTTAAGTAGTTGGGCTTTATTCATTTTCAGGGTTGAAAGGCTTCAGATTTTAAAAACATCGCAAAACCCGTTAATTCACATCTTAAACTCTGATCAGCTTGTAACTGGAAATAACCTATTTCCGAGGATTAACAACTTCCTATCATCTTCTCAAGAGTAATACACATATTCCTAAATGCCATACTTTCTTCTGAAAGTTATAAGAGCTTAACAACAAAATGTCAAGTTCACAAGTTTGCAAATAATCACTTATTGAAGAAGAAATTGACCACAGGGAGTTAAAAATACCTTAAACTGCTAAACATTACGCAAAAATATGTAAATAGTTTGCAAATTAATCATCTTGTTTCAGGTGATGTGAACATTTGGCTGTGCTAGCTAAATCTGTCCGGTTACACAGCTAATCAGCTTGGTCCCATATGTAAGAAACAGCCGTCTGCTGTTTAGATCACTCTCATCTGACTAGCGAAATCTATGGATCACTCTAAGAGGTTTCTAACTACTCATGCTGTTCAGCAGTATATTCCTTTTGCAGTTTAGTTCCTCCAAAAGAGGGAAACCAAAATAATCAGTTGAAAAATTTGAATTCATTTATTTTCTTTGATCTCATCAGCTGCTAGGAAACTATGACACTGAAGTATCAGATTACTCGGCACTTAAACATTCGTTTTCTTACATAACTTTAATACGCATCTTAGTTGTTAATATTAATCTCTGAATGAATAATAAAAATAAAAGGGTCAAAGTAATTTTCCGAAGTATTATTATGTCAATATAAAGCTGATGATCTTAGATCATTTCATAAAAATTGCCACAATACCATACATAAGTGGAAAACAATCATGTAGACCATATGTTTATGTAAATGAACTTGAATAGGACATAAACCAAGTGGCATAGAAATTATTCAATGGCTTCAATCTTTCCAGTACAGTCAATCTACCTATGCAACTTAACGTTATTTTGGGCAGTTAACTGAATACATCTGACTGTTGGCACTGGTTTTAAAGGCCAACCTAGCAACGACGCTAAGTGTAGCTCTTGGTTGATTTTATGTTCAAATAACAGGTAATTTAGTGTTTTTGGGGTTACTTTCAACTTCTTAAGCACTATTTGACGTCATTTTCTACAGAAAGTGCTTTTTAAATAAATTCACTACCTGATGGATGACTACGCTACAATCCTTGTCCGTTAGCTCTTATGCGGCAATCGTGTTCAGTACATACGTGCTATCAGCTGTTTCAATGGAAGGTAAGTGTGCAGTAGTAATCGTTGATAATATTTTGTTAAGATTCGTTTTTGGTAGAGGAAATGATTGCGAACAGTTTTCTACTCTGATGCATGCTAATCCAGCTTAGGCGACGCGTTTGGCAGACCAAGATAAGAAGTACGTCAACTTTGTTGAAGTTGTGATGCTTTTTGACGCCCCACTAACGCCTAGTATGAAACACAAAATAACATGCTTGACTTCTGCATGAAGCACACGACACTGGACAACAAAGATGTATGGCGGGCTCATGTGCATCAGTTGACCCTCTCAAGGTCTCACGTTGGCCAATCACAATTATCTTCAAGTTGGGAGTCACAAACTTAAAAATGGTCAGCCATTAAAGTCCCTCAGCTATTTTAAGTGAATTATAAACTGATCAAATAAAATTATTTAAATCTCATAGTATATTAACAAATTCTACGTTGATTGGTGATTTGTTTTTAAGGAGTTGACAGCTAGTAATGATGATAATAGTAATAATTGGCTGTCACATAACTTTTTGCTTTACAAATAAAACTTACCTTATGATTGTTTTCTTCAATTATACTGATAATGATGTAAAGCAGTATAACTTATCCGATAATTAATTCCTTAAAATGTATATTCATATCACAACCTGTTACTAAGTAGTTCCTTTTATAATAATAATGATAATAATAATAATAGTATGGATGTAATCGGTGTTTAAACCATAACTCTGGTTAAACAAGTACTTTTAGTCATGGATACTTCTAAAGTTTATCTTGTTTAAGATTTATTTGAATAAAACACTAATGTAATACTTCCATATTACCTTCATACATATACATAAATACTGTAGAGGAAAAGGAAAATACGCCTAACCAATCCGAACAACGTTATTAAATTAACTGACCTATACGGTTCATTGTGCTTATAGATTCAATCACATACATTTAACTGTATGTCAGTTTGTCTATACACATCCTAACATCTTAATAGTGAGGAATCAACAAAAATGCATGTGTACAGATGTTAAACTTAGTGAACACAAATTTACATGTCTGTGTGGATTTCGACTTACTGTTCCTATACTTGAATTCCTTAATTCGATTCCAAAGCACGAAAACAGAAGACTAGCTCTACTGGTTAAAAAAAGGTTTATTCAATGACATGATGACAACTTCAAGGTAGTATTCATACCGGACTGATATCAGTTGAAGAACCAATGTAAACCATCAGTCCTGAGAGCTCTGAGTTTTATCCCTGATTAGGTCCTGGGTGCAGACATCTTCGGAGTTTTATACTAGAGTAAAGCAGTTGTTCAGTGCTCGAACTGATGTGAGTCGGTGGTGAATACCACCTTGATATCAATCAATCCTCCAGACGTAAAACTACATTACTCTATAATGATTATTAGTGACATGGATCAAGATGTCCCGTAGTTCTGAAGAGGAGTTATGGCTTGCATGGTTAATCAAGTCAGATGCGGTGATCATTACATTTCGACCGCACACCATACTGCGAATTGACAGAAGCAGAAAAATGTTGACCATATCCTCCCAACACACTGGCTGAAAGGTGATCACGTTCGCCTTGAGACTTTAAGGTTCTCAGTCCGATCCCTTGCTGAGTTGTTAGTGCAGACTGCTGCGATACTCTTTACTAGAACAGAAAAGTTGTTCAGGGTTCCCAGTTTTTCAATGGTTCTGCAACTGATGTTAATCCGCAACGAATTACTATTATTATGATTTCTCCTTTGGGTTCCTAGTGGAACATTGGGCTTCAGTAGCACGTCTCCATTGCACTCTGTTCTCTGCAGTCTTGTGAACCTGGCTCCGCGAATGCCCAGAAGCTTTCATTTCTTCCTCACATGATCTAATCCATGTCACCCTTGGACGCCCAGGTCATCGTTTCCCCCTTGGGCTCCACTCGAGGGCCTGGCCTGGAGCGTGATGTTCCCGAATGGTCTTCTCAGTGTATGCTCAATCCAATCCATCTCCACTTTCTGCTTGTGCATATTTGTTGGGAGATGGGTTCTTGCTTTGTCGGTTCGTTGCCAGCCAGCCAGCCAGAGTTCCTTGTTGCTTATTCTCATTATTCTGGCCATCTGATCTTCAGCTTCAGTATCGAGTAAGCGTAGGTGGCAGCTGTTGATGAATGTCTGTAGTTTGTTGGAAATCCCTTTCGTGACACGCCAAATCTCTGAACCATATAGAAGCACTGAATTGACTGACGTTGGTGTTGAAAATCCCAATCCTGTTCACGCTTTATGCTGAGTGCAGTAGATTTCCACACTGATTTCAGGTTAATGAAGGCCTGTCTTGCTGTCTTTCCGATCCTGGCAGGCTTTGACATCCTCATCTGTGCCACCTGTAGTTGAAACGATACTGCCCTGCCTAGGTGGTAGTTGAAAGAGGCTACTTCCTTCTGGATTCTACCGTTCATGGTGATTGATGCCTGTTGTTGATGTTGTTATTGGTTGGGTATCTTCATCACCTCCGTCTTCTCAACGTTCACCTAAAGTCCCATCTTCACTGCTGTGCCTCTTCTGTCAACTTGTTGGTTCTGCCAGTAGATCTTCGATTTTGTGTGGCAAGACATTGGACATAAATCATCATCGGCGAAATCTAAATCTTCTAGGGTCTTCTCATCGGTCAAGTCACCGTATGCCCATCTTCTCTCTCCTCACAGTGTGTTGCATGATCCAGTCGACCACAGTCAGGAAGATCATGAGTAGTTGTAGGCAGCCTTGTTTCATTCCTGTCTTCACTTCAAAAGCATCACTGAGCTTCCCATTGTGAATTACTTGGCATATGGAGTCTTCATATAGTTGTTGAATGAGGTGGATAAAGGTTTGTGGCACTAAAACTGTAGTGTTGAAGCAGTTTCCAAATTACCTCTCGGTCGACGCTGTCGAGGGCCTTTTCAAAATCGATGAAGTTGAGGTAAGCTAGAGAGTTGACTGTCATTCTGTACTCTGTTCTATGATGATGCGTAGCGTGGTGTCGCAATTTGATCCTCAGGTGATTTGTTCTTTCTGAAACCAGTCAGCCTGTTCCGATCGTGATTTTGAATGCAGAGCACCTTTTAATCTCTCCAAGATGATGCGGCATAATATTTTGCTTGCTTTGGGTGGACAGCGCCATTTTTTGCAAAGACTTAGGTCTGCCTTCTTCGGGAGTTTGACAGGGTCGCCCTTCTTCTATTCAACAGGCAGGTACCTTTCCTTCCTTCCAGACCTTCTGCAATAGTGGTGTGGTGTGAGCATGTCCGCTGTTGTCTCTGCGTCTGAGTTTAGTGCTTCTGGAGGAGTTCCTGCTGCTTTCCTGGATTTCTGAAGTGGTCAGCCTATTGTTTTTTTTGTTTTTCTCTTTGGTATCTAAGTTTACTTCAATATCTCTTATTGGTTTCATCTGTGTTCATCTCTTCCCAGATCGATAGTAACCTGGTTATTTGATATATTGTTGTTGGGTATCTCCTACTAGCAGCCTGTTCTGCTTCGGTTGTGTGTCGTAGAAGTGTTCTTTGCCTTTGGGCTCACTCTTCTTCACTTCTTTAACTAGTGTGGTGTTTTATAGGTTGTATTCAGTTCCTCTTCTCGTTGTTCATCCTTGCACTGGTTTATCTTCTGCTTCACCATCTTCCTCTCCTGTATCAGCCTCCATGTGTTCGTCGAGATCCATCCCTTGTCTTGTTTCTTCTTCCTTCTTAATACAGTTATGCAGGTTTCTTTCCACTTCTCTTTCAAAGACTTCCAATGTTCTTCCACTCAGGTTTCTTCAGAGATGTTGCTGAATATCTCCCATTTTGTCCTGATGACTGACTGACTGACGTGAAGATGTCCTTTGTAGTTTCGTCCTTCAGTTTCTGTTCTGGGTGGTCAACTTGAACTGTGGTTTACCACCAACTTGCTTGAAGGCTTTCAACTTGATTGTGAAGTTAGGTTCCTTGCACTAGATGGTGAGTGGTGTGAACCGACATCTGCTCCTCTTCTTGATCTTGTGGTGTCCAGTAGGCTGTGTCTCCACTTTCTTCAGATTGAGATGAAGTCGATCTGATTTTTAGTGTAGTGTGTCAATCTGGTGAAATCAAATGCATGTCGCTTTGTGAATATCTTTGTGTTTGTACACACTGCCTCCAATCACTAAGTCATTAAAGGTGCGGAATTCTGCAAGCAGTTTCCCATTCTCATTCATTTCATCGAGTCCCTCTCGACCCATGATTGGTTCTCTTCCTGTGTTGTCCACTCCCAGTTTGGCATTCGTGTCACCCAACTCATTAGAATTTTGGTGTCGCCAACTGAGGTGAGGTTTTGTCCAGTAGTGATTGGAGTTGTCTGTAGAATTCCTTCTTTTTCTCTTGATTTGCATTATTTGTAGGTGCGTAGCGTTGGATTCTATGATTGTGACTTTCCTTCCTTTTGAGTTGAATCCATCTTGCTGTCATGATTCTGATCATGGAGGAGATTGGTTCTCACTGCATGAGAGCCTTCGATACCCTTGGGGGCATCATGATAGCTACTTCAAAACTCATTGTACTCGTGGTTGTCGTCTGGGTGACAATATCGGAGTAGATTATTGACCCTCCAGTTGACAGTTGTGAGAGTCCCCTTCCATTGCATCTGCTTTCGCAGATTCCTAGCCTAACACTTCTATGCCATACCTTCTCATCTCTTTTGAAATTTGGGCAGCCATGCTAGGTTCATATATGGTGCGGACATTCTATGTCCCTATGTTTACTTTTGCTTTCATCGAGAGAGAGGAGACACATCGTCTGACTGGCATCATGAAGGCTTTCACCAACCATCGTCATTTCGTCTGCTCGGTTCCAGCAAGGAATAAGTTTATTTTTATTTCCTATATTTTCTTTGTGTTTTGAAGTTTCTTTTGCGACTGGATTGGTTTTTCGGGGTAGGGTTGCTAGTTCTATGCCCAACCTTCCCTCTTTATCCGGACCGGATAGGAACTAGTGAACTAGTTAATCAGGCGAAGTTAATCCGCGAAGAATACTACCTTAAAAATAAAATCTACATAAACCTCAAACTACATAGTGGCAATTATTATTACTATGGATATCTGAACTTGATTATTACAATCTGTCATCGATCAACTTTATTTATTTATTTTTGACACCTTAACAACTGTTCGTCTTCTACTTAACGACTAAAATATCCACAGATCATGTTTTCTCAAGGTACTCTTGAATTAGAAACTCATAAATAACAACCAACATCTTCCAACACAAGTTAATAATCCAAACTTTTATATCACTGTTAGCAGGGTTTTATAGCAAACTGACAGAAGTAAAAAATGTGGATAATGGAATCCTAACCCAAATGCCAATTAGCAATTTATTCGTCATGAAATTCAAAGGTTTGGCGCTTGATATCCACACTAGGCCACAAATGACTGCTGTTGCGTATTCTAAAAATAGGTTTTAGAGGTAATCTAGTGGTCCTTGATGTTCAACTTATGCTAATCTGCAGTGAAAAATACCTCGAAACCAACCAGTTTCCGAGGGAATTCCCAATCAAACTTTCATAGCATGAAATATTTTAGTTGCAACATACAAGTGAAGTACATAACATTAACCGCAGCTAAGTATAAATCCAACCAATTTAGGGAATTTACTTTTTTAGCCTCAGTATTTATCACGGAAAAATGTTACCATTCAACCACTGAGTTGGAACCACAAGGTCAACATTTTTATCATTCTATCAGTTCGTGATATAACGTGACTTTCATCCAGTGCTATCGGTGAGTATTTTCCCCTAAATCTCACTTGTTTGACTCCTCAAGTTGTGACTTCGCATAAGAACT